CTCTTTATCAATATGCAGGGCTTGTGCCTGCTCCTCTGGGATCCAGTGGCAGCTCTCTCCCCTCAGTGGTAACAAAATCTCCCAAGCTGTTTGATTTATCCCTATTAAATCCTTTGCTGCTTTTTTTTTTTTTTCTTTTTCTGAAGCTGAAAATGCTGCGCTTTCTGTCACCCAAGCAATGGGCAGGTTGGACTTATATGAAGGATGTATTGGAAAACTGTGTATTTGTACTTCCCAAAAGCTATTGTTTCTGAAGATGCAGAAACAATCCCTCCTGGTTCCTCTTGTACTCAACAGTGCTGCAGTCAGTATTTGTAGTCGGTTTCTGCCAGTAATGTCTGAAAAATCAGAGTTTGCCTACTGTGTCTGCAGCAGTTTCTCATCTTTTCTAGGACAGCCATTTTAGTGGAGAGGCCAGGAGCATGAGTGAGTGGTGCATGTGCTAGTGCAAGATAAATTTCTGTGCAAATTATTCCCAATGTGAGTTGTAAAAGCCTGGTCAAAAGCTGTATGTGACAGCGTGACAGGCAAGACTGTAGTCATTGATGGAAGGCTGGGAAGTACAGGCATGTCTGTCAGTTGTGCCATGGAGGAAACACAGGGAGGGGAGGTTAGCTAAGGCTTTGGCTTTCTCAGTGATGGCTCCATCAGCTTGCTATGGATGCGTTGCTCCTCACTGTCTCGTGTTGTGCACCATGCATCAGAGACCACTAAATGTGTGCTGATGCTAGGGTGCCCAGCTCAGGAGAATAGTTATTTCAGATCTTGTATGTCTGTTGAGAGACTTTTTATTGGTTCCTTTTCTTTGGCTGTTTGGAAAGGTAATCAAAGTACTTCCCCTCTTGCTGTCCACAGTATGTTTTTCTGCAGGAAGAGAGGTGGAAGACTAAAATCTTGTCCTTATTTTACAAAATACCTGTTAACAGAACGGTTGGTTGAATCAGAATTACTCAGTGTTTGTGCTTTTGTCGTAAAATCTTTTCCTAGGCCAGGTAGACTGGGGAGCCTGTATTTTTTCTTGGTGTGAGACATGCCCACCCTAATTCCCCTACCAGAGCCCACAACACCTTCTCTGTGATGTCTGTGCCACCTCTAAAAACAAGGAAGTCTGTATGGTGTTATAGTGTTGGCCAGTATGTTGTATCAGGTACACATGGAGAAGAAGGCCTCAGTTACTGACTGGATGGGTTTTGGTGAACTGGTAGCTCTCAGTTTGTCATTTCTAAGCCACAAACAGTAGGGAATCACAGTGTAGCTGGCAGCTATCTCTCCCTGTGACACTAGCCAGGGGTTCTTCCATGCTGTTGTGTGGTGCATTAGTAAGGAGGAAACATACACTTCTGATGAAAAACATCTGCAATTAGTGTCTCTGTTTTTACAAGGGAAAAACCAGTAAAACACCTGCTTCTGTGCTCCTCTAATTATGCCATTGTGCTTTGTAAACGAGGTGAGCACTGTTCTTGGCTGGGTTCGACAGCCTTCTGGAACTGCTGCCTGCCTTTCTTTTTGCAGCATCACTCTGAAAAATGTTAAGAGACCACCTGATACTTTGGGATCTCAAAATGACCAGATGATGCTTAAGTGCATCAGGAGCAGAGTATGGGCATGAGAGAATGGGTAATGGGTTTGAAAGCTTGATCCCAAATGCAAACAGGCAGAGAGACAGGGAGAGTTCTGCATAAAGGCTTACCAGCATGGAGAGGAGTTGAGGGCTGGTGGTGAATCTGGCAGGTTTTGGTAGAGCTGTGCTGGAGGGAAAGCTCCAGGCTTGGCCTTGCAGGCATCCCTTGTGCCTGCAGAAATGCATCCTCACAGAAAGCATCACAGTGGTGGCAGATGAACTGTCACTGGCTGCCCAAGTGCTTTGGAGGCACTGTCAGCAGTGGAGGTCAGACCAATGGGCCTGGCAGGACTGTGCCACTGGTCAGGCAGAGCCGTGTACAGCCACGGCCAATGCAGCATCTTGCACTCATGGCTGCTTTGGCACCCTTTGCCCAAAGGCTGTGCTGGGCACTGGTTGCTCCCTCCCTGGCCATGTCCCCATGGCTCCTGCTGCAGAAGGGATTTTCCCTCTGCTCAGAGGCTGATGACACAGCCTGATGCTGGCTGGCAAGAGCTGTGGTGGGCGTACAGAGGCACAGTGAGCCCTGATATGGGAACAGTGCGTTTATTGTGGTCTGGGGCTGCTCTGGTAGCGTGCACTGAAGAAGCCTGGCTATTAAGTCAGGCTCATTTCCTCATAACTGCTTCATTCTCTTAATTTCTTCTTTCCCTGCCTCTTGACACCTGAATGATGCCAGAGCCTGTAGGCATGTAATTTGGATTTTCCTTATTCAACTTAGTTGCAATTTTTTTTCCTTGCAGTCCGTGGGTGGGTGCTGGTGCAGTCCCTTCACTGTCGGGTGGATGTGGTGGGTTCTAGCAGTGCCTGATCTCCTGAATGGATGCCTTGTTTGTGCTTCAGCCACTGTGGATCTCTCAGTTTTGTGTACTGACAGAGTTAGCACTGAGCAGCCCTTCACATCTACCACAGAATGACCTCTTGTGAGTGTGGAGCAGGCATATTTCTTGAGCTCCTCTTAACACTTCATTCAGTAATTGTCAATGTGACAGTGTCCTGCACCTGTGCCACCTCTGCCTGACTCTCTTGGCTTCCTCTGGTCTAATGTGCAGGGAAGGGCAGGCTAGCATCAGTATTTACTGATGCTCCCACACTCTAATAAGAACCAGCTCCAGAAATTCAAGAAAGCAAGTTGGGGAGGACAAGACAAAAAAAAGTGGAAGGCTGTTAGTGGATCTGGGCAGGGAGATTTTTTTTGTTACCGTGTCTGTGCTCAGGGTCCTCAGCCCCAAAACTGAGCTTTGCCCAGCATGTGCCCCATGGGGAGGGGCATAGCGCAGCTGTGCTCTGGCCCAAGCACCTGGGACTGCCAAGCCAGCGCACACCAGCTGTCCTTGTGCCTCAGCTGCTCCTGAGAGGTGGTTGTGGTCCCCAGGGAGAGGTGGCTGTGGTCCCCAGGTCGCTGGTCAAGATCCAGATCTCCGTGTGCTCATGGAGGCGCGTCAGTGCAGGATGTCTGAAGGAGCTGTGCTTGGGGGGCTGTGAGGTGCCCTTGCTTCCAGGCCCCCCTTAGACAGCGCAGTTTGGGCAGACCTCTGCCGGATATGTCAGCCTGGGCAGGGAGGAAGCGGGGCTGACCCCGGGTCTGCTTGTTGGAGAAGACGGTGAGTGGCAGGGGAACCGGGAGCAGCTGAGCTGAGCTCTTTTCCTGGTGTGAGAAGAGGCTCCCTGGGCTGTGCTGGTGGGGAAGGTGGATGCCCCTTGCCGAGGGTGCCAGCCGTGGGGCAGCCCCGCCGGGCAGTGCGGGGCCCGCGGCTGTTCCGCACGCCGGGCTGCGGCGGGGCTGAGCGCGCCGGCATTCCCCTCCTTTCCCCACCCAGTTCCTTTGTCTCCACTGCCTGTGGATGAGATTGCTGTAAAAACGCACGCGGAGCTCTGGGCTTTGGCTGCTGCCGGGATGCTGGAGTATTCTTTGCATCCTTCTGTTGACAGAAAGGAAGCTGCAAATTCCCACCATGGTGGCGATACTTCAGAAATGGCCCCAAGGGTGTCGGGTGGAGAGCAAACCCATTTCCCTGCAGAACAATTAGCCATGCCAGAGCGTCACAGGGTGAGGCTGGCATGTGAGCCCTGCTGAAGGCTCTGGTCTGCCCTTGTCCAGGCTCACACTGTGGAAGGGGAGTGTATTTACATACCAAAACCTGGGCTGTGGGCAACAGAGAGGAATGTAAAGTGTGATGAAGAGCTGAAGAGTTGTTGGAGGTGTTTCAAGCAGTCAAGTAGACAACATGTTCTCTGGCACAGCAGTCAGCCTATGTCACCTGAATCCATGGCAGGCAGTGGTTTGCCCCTGTACTGCCTGCAGCTGCTTGTACAGACTTGTACAGGTGGAGGTAGGTAGAAGAGCAGGACCTCTGCCATCTGAGTTCCCCTGGACAGGGTCTGTTCCCCACAGGACAGTGCCCATCGTCTCGCATCAGTGTATGCTGAGTTGTCTGGTCCAAAAGTGTGAACGCAGGAAGAGTATAAGGACAATTCTGGCTGGGGTGTTCCTCTGTTGTCTGGCTGTGCTCCTTTGGAGAAGGCTGCTGGCCACTTCGGTCAGTAGGAAGGAGAACAGAAGAGGTGGTAAATCATGAGACTGGAGTGCAGTCCAGTGCCTCCTGTTTTTTGTATAGACCTGTGAAATGCCTCAGAATCATTACCCCAAGCACAGCAGGAGAGTGGCAGATTAACAGCTGGTTGCCTGTCCTGTTGGTGGTTTTTGCAAGGTGGAAACAGAGCAGAGAATAACTTGTCTTCTTTAATGCAACTTACTTTATGTGGTATCTGGATAAGATTTAGAGACATGCCCATAGTACAAACTAAATGCTGGTGTCTGTGGCTCATGCTGCCTGCCTAGTTATGTGCATAATGTCCCGACGTAGGAAGCTGTTGACTTCCCTCTATATTTTATGGAAGCATATTTGCTGTATCCCCTTGTGCTTAGTCTGCCTCGGTGGTGTTTTGGTGGTCTTTGTGGCAGCCCCCTCTCTCACTTAGAAATGGGTTTTGGAGTAAGACATTTTCAATCCTTGCTCTTGTACTGTTGTTTGGAGTGTTGACACAGGTCTAGTGACATTTCTGCAGCATCAGTGGTTGAGGTGAGCAGTGGGAGAGTGCCTGTACGAAGTGCTGAGAATCATAAAATCATAATATATTAAGGGGCTGGAATGAACCTTAAAAGATCATGTAGTCCCAACCCCCTCTAGTGGGACACTTCCCACTAGACCAGGTTGCTCAAGGATTTAACCAACCCAGCTTTGAATACTGCCAGCACTGGGGCGTCCATAACCTCCCTGGGCAACCTGTTCCAGTGTCTAACCACCGTCTTAGTCAAAAGTGATCAAAGCATGTGTGTAATGTGCTACTGACAGCTGCTGTGCTCTTCCCTTTTCAGAGTGATCGTCTCCTTATTAAAGGAGGGCGAATAGTCAATGATGACCAGTCATTCTATGCTGACATTTACATGGAGGATGGCCTCATAAAGTAAGTATTGGATTTTTCCTGTCTTCATCTCCCCTTAAACTAGCTTCAGGTTGGGTGGTTATTGGCTTTTTGTGGATGTAGTCTGTGCCCAGTTTGCCAAGCAGTAAAACTTGATAACCCTCTCTACTCGGAGGCTCAACTGCACTCTGCACTGTGTGTAAGCACAGATATGATTGTCTCATGTGTTTTCAGAGGAACTCCAGTGACAGAATTGCAGTCAGGCTTGTGGGATTGTGATACAGTGTTCATTGTACAGCAAAGTTGTGTCTAATTGCACCAGGAACGAGGTTTATCTTTGACTTCTCTTTTGCCCTGTGTTAACCGTATTAGTGTCAATAACCCCACACAGGATCCTGTTTGTTAGCACTTACAAGGATAGTGCTGTGCTGCAAGTCATCTGCATCTTTGAGATTTCCAGGAATTGCAGGGAATCCTCTGGGTTCCCCCAGCTTCTCTGTCTCAGAGCTGTAGGAATAGCTCAGTTGTTTAAAGGCTGCCTTCAAACTTGGCAAAGGTATTGTGTCAGGGCCAGCTCCACACTGGGTGAAGTGAAAGAACTATGATAGTTTATAGCCCTGAGACTTGAAAAGGCATTGCATGCTCTGTGGTAAGAGTTATATATCCAGCCTTCCCAGGGTGGTATTTGTTAAAAATCCAGCAGCAGATAAATACTTCAAGAAGTGTGATTGTATTTTTATCTGGTGGCAAGACCACTTGTGATTGACAAGTGTCTGTAAACAGGCAGGGATCAGAGCTAGCTTTGGTGTTTTTTGTGGTGCATGCTTTCTGAGTATCATTGGGTGAATCACTGAGCCTCATCTATGGCCTGGAGGCCACAGAATTTCACTGCCTTGGGAGCTAAATGCTCTTACAAGTGAATTCTGCGAAGAATACAGTGAGCAATTAAAAACCTTTAGTGATGGATTCATCTCTGTAAAAGCAGTGTGAAGAGCTGCTGATTTATTGCTGCGAGGACAGTAAAGTGAGCAGTTCTGTCCACAGAATTTTTGTTACACTAGGGGAAAAAAAAACTGCAAAGTGACTCAGCTTGAATGAAATGCAAAAATGAAATTTATTTCTCATTTTTAGTTCCCCAAGGAAATCAGAAGTTTTCCACTAAAACCAACTTACCTTTAAACTTGATTTATCAAGGAGCACTGAGAAAGGCTTGATGAAAGTAGGATTTCTGAAGGAAGAGATTTGAAGGCTGAGTTGAACATATGGGCTCATAAAGGGTTGAGGGAACAGGGTCTGAAGAAGGGAATGCTGAGGTTCAGGTGACTTGGCCTGCAGGAGGGCTGGATACTTGTGCTACTTGTCAAGTTGTGCTCAAACAGGACAGGCTCCAGAGCACTATAGTTGTGTATTAGGTTACTAGTACATTTATGCTAGAACTCTCTAGATTTCCTGTTTTCAGAAGACATTCTTCGGTACTTGTGATTTTAGCTGCCTTCACTACAATATGACCCTGCAAAGCTGTCCTTTAGGGTCACAGAAGAGACAAGGTGATAGGGGGGAACTGTGCACTTCTTGGGAAGACAGTGAACCCAGAGCCTGCAGGTTGTGCTACGAGCCCAGCAGGCTGCAGCCAGTCAGGCTGGGCACTTGCTGAGCTATTTCCCAGCTCCCAGGAGTCCCTTCACTCTTGGGATTTTGTGTTGTGAGTGGCATTGCAAGTCCCTGATAAGCCCTGAGCTGGCCTAGCAGCTGTGGCATTACAGTAAAAATCATCTTTATTTGTAAGTAAGCTCAGACTTGATCCTTACTTAAGGTGGGCAGAAGGACGGGAGGCAGGAGAGATTAGGGGTGTAGCTCACTTGGAAGCAGGGCTGGTGTCGGGTTTTGTGGGCATGTACCCTGGGTGAGCAGTTAGAGCTGCTATGCTGGAAATGCATATGCTGCAGCCTGTTTTGTGAGCCTGTATGGGATGAGGTGTCCTAGGCAGGTTCTCACCACACACTGCAGAGGTCACCATCAGACCATACTCCCCAGCTACCCCAACCCAGTGTGTGCCCCATGCAGCAGGCGCCATCCAAGTGACCTGCAGAGTGGCTGGACAGATGGCAGCCACCCCTAAACTAAGCACAGCATAGGTGTAAGCAAGCCAGATAATCCTGCATGTTGCTGCAGAGTGATTTTGCTCCGGCAAGCCTGGGTCTGGGAGTGGGACAGAGTGGGGTGTTCCTGCTGGCAGGGAGCTGCCCTGGCAGTCTCTGGCTGAGCTGTTCAGAGGTTATGTTGTGGCAGGTCTTCCTTTGTGAGAGTATCTTGGTGTGATCTCATCAGGCAGATTGGAGACAACCTGATTGTTCCTGGAGGGGTCAAAACCATAGAAGCCAATGGGAAGATGGTGATCCCTGGAGGAATTGATGTCCACACTCGTCTGCAGATGCCATACAAGGGAATGACCTCTGTGGATGACTTCTTCCAAGGAACAAAAGCAGCTCTGGCTGGTGGAACCACCATGATTAGTAAGTGCAGCAGGCATGGCCTGTGTGTGACACCACCCAGCACTCCTGCAAGATCACCCAGTTCTTGGTTTTTTATGTGCTTTTCTCAGTCTTCTGTGTTTTCAAAGTCCTTGACAGTGTGTTCATATTTTCTGTGATCTCTGTCAATGCAGTCTAGGGAGTAAGGACTGGGATTAATCTTTTGGTCCTTAGTAACAATGAAGTGATAGTACAGGAGATGTGCATAGGACCCCTTGACCTTGGAGATCCTGTGTTCTGCGGTGCTTGTCTGCAGCCACTGTTGCCTCTGGAACCCTCAGAAAGGAACAATGGCATAACTTCTCTGTTAAATAACAGTAGGGCAGCATGGTGCTCAGATGGCTCTGAGCAGAGGAACAGAGCGGTGTGTTGGCATTCCACACTGCTCGAAAATAAACAGTGCTAACGAAAAAGGAAAGGGAATTCTGAGGTCCTTCCCTGGAGGATGCTATGGCTGTGCACTGGTTTGAGGTCGAGGTACTGTCCTGGGCAGTGGTTACAGCTATGTGCACTGCAGTGTTCCTTGGGATGCAGAAGCAAGTGTTGATCCTTCCAATAAAGGACTGGGTTCCTTGTCCTCCCCCCACTATTTCTCCTTCCTCTATGCCAAAAAAAATCTTTTGTGATTTATTGCACATGCTGTGCAATAAAAGGTGCATTAGTGTTGCAGTGTGGCAGGAGGCTGAGTGCTAATGGGGTGGGAGTGGGGGTGAGGAAGACAAGGCTCTTCAGCTTTCAGACAGTTTCTCAGCAGAAGCTGTAAAAACCCGTGATCCTGTGCCAGAGCCCATTAAACAAAGGCTCTGTGCATTTTCCCTGCCAATAAATGCACTTGAGGAGCCAAGGCATGTTGTGAAGGTGACAGGATCCTCTTGGAGCTGCCCTGAAGCTGTTGAAGAGGCCAGCCTGGGGTGGTGGAGTGATTCCACCGGGCCACGGTGGAAGGGCCAGGCTGGGAAGCCTTGCCCAGCCCTTGCTCTGCTGTGCCCCTGCAGTGGATCATGTGGTGCCAGAGCCGGAGTCCAGCCTGGCCGAGGCGCTGGAGCGGTGGCGGGAGTGGGCTGATGGCAAGGCCTGCTGTGACTATGCCTTGCACGTGGACATCCCACGCTGGAGCGACCATGTCAAGCAGGAGCTGCACGCCATGGTCCAGGAGAAAGGTTTGTGTCTTGTGGCTCCCCGCCTGGCCTTGGCCGGCCCTGTCCCCTGGCCAGGGAGGGCAAGAGGTGGCTGTGCTGTTGGGTGCCTGCAGCGTTTTGCACAGCTGCCAGCAGGAACTGTGCCCCACAGGGCAGCTGGTGGGGAGGGTGGCCAGAGCAGGCAGCCTAACCTACCCAGCTCACCTCTTTCTCCTCTCTGCCTTGCCCCAGGTGTTAACTCCTTCATGGTGTATATGGCCTACAAGGATTTGTACCAGATGTCCAACACTGAGGTGAGACCCCCTGCGCCGCCATGGTTGTGTTGATTCAAGGAGCAGTGCGGGGTGACAGCCATGGTGGGCATGGGGCAGCTCATAAGACTGGTGCCTACTGCCCCTGGCCAGGCCTTGCTGCTCTTCACCTCTACCTTGGCTGCCTGTGCAGGGCTGCCCCAGGCTGTGCTGTGGGCTGGCTGGACTCCTGCACTGCAGGTGGAGGCACAGGTCTAGTGAGGAGATCACCAAGAACATCAGCTGCTTCAGAGAGCTGGTCCTGCTGCTGCCAGAGCCATGGGTGGAAGGGCCATGAGGGGTGCCAGGGCCATGGGCAGCATGCTCAGTAATAATTTTTTCTTGTCTCTCTTTTAGCTGTATGAGATTTTCAGCTGCCTGGCAGAGCTGGGTGCCATAGCTCAAGTTCATGCAGAAAACGGGGATATAATTGCACAGGTAACTAACTACTTCTGGCATGCAAGAACTGAAAATCTGTATCAGGCAGATTTGGTGTGTGGTGTTAGCAAAATGGCTCTGAAGCTGGACATCTTGTGCTAGGTGATATCTTTGCTGTTCAGAAGCAATAACAAAGTTAGCAAGATTTTTTTGTTGTGACTACCTTGTGCATAAGCTAATCTGAAATAGTGCATTAGCAATTACCTAAATGGAAGTGAGTGTCTTATCAAGTATGATATGTTTGCTCCAGCTGCATCTGCCTGCAGTGTGGAGAGGCAGAGACCTTTGCCTTGCACATAACAAACCAGGAGAGGTAAAGTCCATCGAGAACTGCCTTGGCAAGAGAGATTTTCTCCCTTTAAGCTGGTGGCTAATGAAGCTGGATTCGCAAGGCAGATGTTCTGAGGGACGTGCTTTAGTGATCAAGGGGGTAGTGTGTATTGGCTGCTGTGCTGTAATTGGTGCTGGGTAACAGAAGAGCCAAATGTTTTCTTCTCATTAAGACACAGAAGACATTGCTCAATTAAGCTCTGCAACTATTTGGATTTTTCTCTCTCTTGTTCTTGGGAGTTGAAGGAGCATGAACCAAGAGGTCGTTCTTTGAGCATCTTTTCAGAGTACAAGAATTAGTTTTTGTTTGGACTTTTCAGAGCCGCAGTGCACTGTTGGATGGCTCCTTCACATGAGAACCGAGTGGTCAGAGGAATTGTATTGGCCAGAGCTTATCTCTATTTTAGCACCTGCCTAATCATAAAATGCCCCAAAATTACTAATTGGTACAGTTCACAGACATGGGAACTGGAGAGGATGGGGAGTTTTGTAACTGTTTTTTGTTGCCACATTGTTCTTGTTTCACTGAAGTGGTTTAACTCAGTGCCTGCCCTCCCATTTCCTCATGTTCCCTCCTTCTCTTTCTAATCCCTTGAGGGTACAGGAGCCTCTCACCTTGCCTGATGGTCCCACAGGACATAAGGTGTTGATGGTCCTGAGGGAAGGGCTTGACACAGAAGGGATCTACTTTTCTGGTTGATAGTTTCAGTCCTGTAATATCCCTCTGTTATTTTGATGTCCTAGGAACAAGCCAGGATGTTGGAGATGGGAATAACAGGCCCTGAAGGCCATGTGCTGAGCAGACCTGAGGAGGTAAGATGCAGAGGACAGTTCAGCCTTGCTTCACTGAAGAGTTTTCCCCATCACAGTAGGGCTCAGTGTGTTCAGTGGGGCCAAGCAAGCATCAGGGCAGGGGAGAGTGTGTGTACCCCTGGATATCCAGGGGTATCCATTTTTACAGGCACTGCTGTCTTTTTCATCATCAGCCCAGGAAAGAGCAAGGTACATGTTTGTGACACACATTTCTTAGTTGTGCTTGAGTTGCCCAGCAGAGACAGAAGCCCTTGTTCTGAGTTTCAAAGAGAGGAATCAATCAAGCATAATGTCTGTATAGCTGTAGCAGTCTTTGAGGCTGCATTGGGGGCATTTGTTTTATATAGGTGTGGGAAGCCTAAGAAGAATCTACTGACAAGTTTTAGAATTCACTGTTCATATTTAAGTGCTGACAGATTCCAGCATTTCCCTGCTTTATATCTGCTTAGTCTCTAAAGTGTATTTCAGAGATAGATGGACGAAGCCATTGTTTGAAGGAGTGGGAGGGAAAGAGAAGGGGAATTCCCTGGTTACAAATCATTGTCAGAACACTAATGAGATTACTTCTAAATTTAGCTTGTATGGATTTTTCAGTTTGGTCTATTAATATGAGTTAAGTCTAATTTTAGATGGGTTCCCTTCACATAACTCCCTGCTGAGAGGTACCTTGACTTCCCACAGCATATGAAAGAAGAAAACAACAGGAATTTGGTACAATAGCAAGGTTGAGCAGGGAAGCACAGGGACAAATTTGTACTTCAGGGCCTGCTGAAATAAAATCAGTAGGCTTAAATTAAAAGTGTAGGGAGTTGGTTGTATTTGAGCTAGTAACAACATAAATGGCCTAGTGTAATAACAGTACTTCCTCTCTGAAATACAAGAGTGTAAAGCATTTTCCAGTACAGGGAAGAGCTTCACTGTCAAACACAGTGGCTCAGAGTTCCTCTTATTTTTATGACTCTAACCTGTTGCCACTAGTTGGCAAGCTAAAGTGCAATTATGGGAAGCTGTGGTTGTGTCCAGATTTGAGAACTGTCCTGTTACCATAAGCAGTGCAGATCTCATCCAAAGCCAATGAAACATTGTTAGGTATTTGATCTTGAAATGCCATTACAGTGTAAAGAAAGTGTAAGAGAACAGTGCAAGGCTGTAGATATTATGCGTTCAGCCAAATCCAGATCTCATTGGCTTTGAAATAAGGAGTGTCCTTCTTCCAGAACATACTCTTCCTTGGAAAATGTTAGGTGGAGCACAAATGACACTGCTACAGCATAAAGCCTGCAGGCAGATGGCAAAGCATTAGGAGAGTGGTGTGTGGCTCCGTGGGTCTTCTCTGTCCTGGAGAGACCTCAGTGGGGGTTAAAAGCATGTTCTTCTGCTGGTGATGGTGGTGACTTGACAGGCCAGGATGATGCAGCTCCAGATTGTAACCTGCTCTGAGGGGTATGCAGTGATGGCTGTTTGCTCCTGTCCACATGTTAAACCCCATCAACTACTACAGCCCATAAATATGGTGATAAAAATCACTTCTCACTTAAATTTCTATTTAAAGCAAAAAACCTCTTTTCACTGTACAGCAAATAGATCTGCAGAAGTATGAGAGGAGTAGAAATGCATGTGTGTCTGGATGCAATGCTCTGCTTCTCTGCCCTGGGACATTTTGGCTGGCATGGTCCCAGGCATTGCCCTTGGGGCTGGATCATTGTGTCTTTTTAAGGCTTCTGTTTTGAACTTTCTCAAGCCAACACTTGAAGCCAAATTGTAGAGCAAACACATGGAGAACTCTGAGGCTGAGCTCAGGCTGATGTAATGATCCAAAGATATCCCTCCTGGTGGAAATCTACCCTCCAATAACAGCAGGACATGAGATGGGGTGGCTGTCAGCAGGCTGGGGCAAGCAGAAGCTGCACTACAGGATGGCAGCCTCAGTGACAAGCAGCTTGCCAGCGTGCAGCCCTCTGCACCCTGCCATGGGGGTGATAGGGGACATCTGACTAAACCTGCTGCACTGTAGGACAGCCTGGAGCAGGGGAGTGCTGTGAAAGGGTGGCCTTCCCACTGCCTGGCATCAGCCTGCCGGCACAGCTGGCAGGCTGGGCAGCAGTCCCTGGGCTCCTTGGGCTGCTGGGAGAGCTGGAACCAGGCAGTGGAAAAAAACAGCAGGTGCAGCTCTGCTGGCTCCTGAGCAGGGTTCAGGCAGTGCTCCTGTGCCAGGCATTGTGTTACTGTAGCCTGCCTTTGGGCCAGGCCCTGGGGAGACAGCAGCTTCCCCCCTCAGGTCTCCCTGATGAAACTGCCCTGGGGAGTCAAGGGTGAAATCGAGGGCACAGGTGTCCACAGCAATCAGTGGTGTGTTGAGAGTAACGGGGGCTCCTCCCTGCCCAGTCAGTGCTCCTCTGCAGCTGTGTGGCATCCTCTCTTCCAGCTGGAAGCAGAAGCTGTCTTCCGGGCCATCACTATTGCCAGCCAGACCAACTGTCCTCTCTACGTGACTAAAGTGATGAGCAAAAGTGCTGCTGACCTCATCTCACAAGCCCGAAAAAAAGGTGAGTGGCAGCTGGTGCTACACTTGGCCCTGCTGCTGCCACCAGGCTGCTGGATTATGTGGTTTTCATGGCCTCGTGGCTGTTTTGCCAAGATCAGCACTGTGCTTCAAGTGCTGCCTAGTGCTTCCCCTTCTGCTAGGGAGCAGTTAGCTTAGGAGTTTGCCTGACTGGTGAAGGGCAGGGTGACACTGCAGTAGGCCACATGGAGCCATCTCCTGTTGACAATCAGGTAACAATAATATGTGGGGCACAGGTAGGAGCAATGTTTTAAACACCAGTTTGCAGCTGTGAAGGGCTCAGTGAGGATACTTGTTCAATGCATGTGGTTGAGCTGCTGCGTATAGCTCTGGCCTCCCTTTGAAATGCTGGCCCCGTGAAAGTGCTTTGGTGCCTTTTCAGGTGGCTGGGAGCTCCATTTGTCAGTGGTGCTGGAGCACAGAGATGCCCCACAAGTGCAGCTCTGTTCAGTGGGCCCTGTGCCCCTGTCCCAGGAGGTGTGAAGGGGGATTCTGGTGCATGAGGATTTGTGCCCTTGAGCAGGAGGACCCTATAGTGGCACAGGTCTGGGTATTCTCAGGACATTGCAGGCTCTTGGTAGTGCTGTGGAGGATGTCACCAGGCTCCACCAAAACACTGTTCTTTCTGCGCCCTTCTCCAGGCATTGTGGTGTTTGGTGAGCCCATCACAGCCAGTCTGGGGACTGATGGAACGCACTACTGGAGCAAGAACTGGGCGAAGGCTGCGGCATTTGTGGTCTCTCCACCACTGAGTCCAGACCCAACCACTCCTGACTACCTTAACTCCCTCCTGGCCAGGTGAGTGACAGCTCTGCTGGGGATACTGCTAGGAGAAAGTGGACTCTGGGTACGGAAGAAAGGTTAGTCCAGCCTGAACCACTTCACTGTAGGTATATAATAAACTGAGCAGTGAAATGGCTCTGACTCCAAGCCATGTTGGTTTATCCTCAAGAGTGGAGGGAGAACACAATAAGCTTAACATCACTAATGAGAAAAATACCAGTTGTCATGAACCATTTAAAAGGCTCTGAAGAAGACAAAGAAATGAGGACAAGCTAAAACAGACTTGTCAACGGAAGGATTCACTGAACTGGAGAAGTGGGGAATGGATGCTTGGATTGGGATGCTGCACAATGATGCGGGATGGTGCACCAATGTGGAGAGTGTTACAGGTTAGACAGCCTTCTGGGGACCCCAGTCAAATAGAAAGCAGATATATTCACACACCTATACAGGTGAGCAGTAACAGAGCTTGCAGAGTGCAGGAGACCTTCAGAAGCAGCTCCTGCGCATCTGGCTGGGATGGCAGATGGTTTTTTCATTTATAATCGAGTCACTAAGAGGTGTCCAGGAGGGCACGTTAGGATAAACCTGGTTTGTGCCAGAGTGGAGATGCTGTGTCTGGCTGTAAGAGAAGTGCCAGTGCATTTGCAGTCTGAGTATGCAGCTCACCCTGCATTTTGCATGAGGTGTTCATTTGTCAATGAACAAGAGATACCACAGTGCATATTGGATCTATGATATAGGTGCAGGTCTTAACAAGTGGCAAGGAAATGTGGGCCCAGCTCCTGAACTGTTTTTCTATTCCTTACCTTCTGCTGCCAATGTAGCCCAGACCTCAAAGAAGACACAAGCAATTCTTGGTCCCTGCAGCTCATAGGTCTGTCCTGACACCTTTGCCATACAGTTTTCTGTGAGGCTGCAGCAGGAGAGACTGTGAGGTTCCAGCTGGACTGGATGGCATGTTTGTCTCCAGCAGGAAGCGTGTTGTGTCGTCATTCTGGGCCTCTGTCTGTACAATTCATCAGACATATGGCAGAAATGATCAGAGGAAGATGGAGATTCCCAGTGGATTAGGGCAGATTTGCAGCCTTGAGGAGAGTCACTGTGTCTGCACTGTCCAGGTGCAAGCAGTGCTGGGAGCTGGCCTGCCTTGGTCTGCTTTCCTTTGCCTGGCAGCAATGACTTTCCAGTTGCTGTCTGTCCAGTGTTATGTGAGCACCGAGCAGCAGCTGGGTGACTTCCAGGGAGCCATGGACAGCTGCTCGCCCTCCCTTGTCTGTGGGCAGCTCGCTGGCTCTTCCTCTTTCCTAGGAGCAGGATGTGTCCAGGTGCCCTTCTGGGCAGTCTGAACTCCCTTCATCCCACTGCAGCAGGCTTTTATGGGGTGGGGGAGGACTGTGCTAGCCCTCAGCATGCAGGAGCTGGCAGTGCACAGTGCAAGGGCTGGCTTGTGGACTGGGAGACAGCTCTGGAGCAGAGAGGCCTCTTCTTCCCTGTGTGGCAGAAGGGTTCTCTGAAGCAGACCTGACAAACTGCGAGAAATGGAGTCCAGGATGAAAGGACGTCTTTTGGCCTGACACTAAAACCACTTTGTTCCCTAGGACCTGAGCTGTTGACTTTTCTTTTGTACAGGATGCTGCCCATGCTCAGGTGGGTAGCACAGCATGGCAGAGGTCTCTTGCCTCCATGTGACACAGCTGCCCCAGGGGCTGGGTCAGGTGGAAGTCTTCAGGCGGAGGGACTGTGGAAATGAGGGTGCAGAGTCAAAAAACCTGAGCTCGTGGCTAGAGGAAATACATATCCCCCATGTCTCTGTTGCTGTCTGACTCCAAAATGACTGACAGTGGGTTTGTTCCACCCCTCTTCAGTGGTGATCTGCAGGTGTCGGGAAGTGCTCACTGTACCTTCAGCACTGCACAGAAAGCCATTGGAAAAGACAACTTCACGGCGATCCCAGAAGGAACCAATGGCATAGAGGAACGAATGTCTGTCATCTGGGACAAGGCAGTGGTGAGAGTCCCACCAGGGAAGGGGCAGAGTGGGAAGAGGTGGTTGCCATCTCACACACCCATGCTACTGCCCTGTAGAGCTGGGCACCCAGCTTGTTCCCTCTCTGGCTTTGAGAGTCAAATCAAGCTGGGGCAGGAGAGATAGCTGTTGCAGGCTTGGGGTGATCATCCAGAAGCTGTAACTGTGCCCCCAGTTCTTGGTCTGTCTGACACTAGTTAGTAAGATCAGCCTCAGAAGCTTGGGCCCAGCCAGCCAGCACCTTGTGTGGGAGTGAGGATGGTGCTTTCCAAGGCTCTTACTCACCCTTTCCCCATAGATGGACTTAATTCTTTTTTTGTGTGTGCAGGCCACTGGAAAGATGGATGAAAACCAGTTTGTGGCTGTCACAAGCACTAATGCTGCCAAAATCTTCAACCTGTATCCACGGAAAGGGAGAATAGCAGTGGGCTCGGACAGCGATCTGGTTATATGGGATCCTGATGCTGTAAAAATCATCACAGCAAAAACCCATCAGTCTGTAAGTCCTCTGCTCATCCGTGTGAACACTGGAGGGTGGCGTGTGAGTAGTTTTGTAGAAAGGTTGCCTGGCTGCTGGGAGCTTGGTACTGTCCTACTTGGCTCTGAGGAGGAGGAACTGAGCCCAGGCTCTAGGTAGTGCCTGTTGTGAGGCACGTAGGGCTTTTCTCACCCTGTGTGAGTATTCTTCTCCTGACCCTGACCTATGCAGGTGGAAAGACACACATTTCTCCTTATCTTCGTTCCTCTTCCAGGCACAGATAGTTTTCCTGTCATTGCCACAGCGCTTTGCTCATGCCTTACCTCAAGTCTAGGTCCTGCCTTTGTCTGCTCTGAGAGTTCTTTCTCACACTGAGCTTCAAACCAGCAGGTCCTGGTTCACACTGGAAGCTCTGGTGGGCTTTTACTGTGACGGGCTAGTGAGCTAAAGGAGGCCTCTGAGCATGCAAGGCTTTAGAGGTGTCTTCTGCTTGCATTGGTGACTCCAGCAGTGAGGTGTGGGGACTGACCCACCCTGAGTGTCCCTCCTGACCATCATCCTGGGGTTGCTGCAGGTGGCTGAATATAACATCTTTGAGGGGATGGAGCTCCGTGGGGCCCCACTGGTTGTCATATGCCAGGGGAAGATCATGCTGGAGGATGGCAACCTGCATGTGACCCAAGGGACTGGACGATTCCTGCCCAGCAGCCCTTTCCCTGACTACGTCTACAAGCGCATCAAAGCCAGGAGGAAGGTGAGGAGGTGGGGATGCCAGGAGACATTTGGCTTATTGTTAGCCCAAATTGTCCTTAATAACTGGTTGGTTTTCCTTTGCTGTTCTTGCTGGACCCTGTAAGCAGTGCTGCAAATTGCTAGTGTATTTTGAATGTACAAAATAGCTGAGGCTTGGATAGGGTGTCCTTTGTGATAGTGGTGTGCCATGGTGAAGACAGATGCTCCTTAAGGTTAGCAGTGGTAATGTCTCTCATCATCCTGTCCTGCTGTAGCAGGAGTCTGGAGGGAAACACTTTAAAATGAAGAGATTGGCCAAAATTGCCTTCTCCTTCCTGATTTGTGCAGCATAAACCCCATCTGGGTGATCACCTGTTGCACTGGCTCTGCACACCTTACAGGGCAGTGGGGGCTGTGCCAGGCCTCAGTGCTGCAGGACTTATGGTACGCAGCAATGTGACATCCTGCAGGGGGACTGAGGAGCTGGTGCACAGCTGGAGCATGATGTTCCCTGGGCTCAGAGAAGTATCATTGTCCTCTTCTCTCTGCTGACAGATGGCAGAGGTGCATGCTGTGCCCCGGGGCTTGTATGACGGACCCGTGTTTGACCTGACCACCACCCCCAAGGGGAGCACCCCTGCGGGGTCAACCAGGGAGTCCCCCACACGTCAGACACCACCCGTCAGAAATCTCCATCAGTCTGGATTCAGCCTGTCAGGTGAATACATGTGGTGGCTGGGCTGGGAGGGGGCAGAGCCACTGGCCATATGTCCCTGGCCTGGGGCAGGGGCCAGTTAGAGGTGCTCTGCAGCAAGGTAAGCACAAGAGTGGATCATGGCAGGGCAAGATCCTGTGTGTCTCTTAAAGGACATGGCTGGAGCTGCACCTTGCAGAAATAGCCAGGCAGACTACCTGGAGGCCACTGTGGCCGTGGAGGCCAGCACAGCATCCAGTGCTGTTCTTGCTGTGTGGATCTGTTCACGAAGCATCTGCAGAGACTTTAAAGCCACTGGAGCTCTGAATTGCTACTGGAGTTGGAGAGGGAGCAGGTTGCAGTAGATAGCCTCTGGAGGGCCTTGAAAAGTTTCCAGGCTGCCTGACTGCTCAGTCCTGTGAAGAAGATGCTCTTTACTTTCCCCATTCCCTTTGTATTTTCTCATCCTGTCCCAGGTACCCAGGTTGATGAAGGCATGCGCTCAGCAAGCAAGCGCATTGTTGCACCCCCGGGAGGCCGCTCCAACATCACCTCCCTGAGCTAAATGTCCCGGCTGAGGAGGAAACAAAATCCCTGTTCAAGCAAAGGAAGAAAAATGGTACATTGGTGTTGAAGAATGAAAAGAAACAAACCTGTTCTGAAGAATCAATAAGCCTCAAGCCTTATGTTTCACAAATGCTACTTGCTACCTAGCTTTAAAGATGTTGCTTCATTTTGTTTTTGCATAGCCTTAAAGTTCTGTTGTTGTTACTGTTGTGGGTTTGGTTGGATTATGTTTTGCTCTTCCTCTCTGTATGCATGCTGCTCGGACAGGTTGCTGGGTTCAGTGTTATTGGTGTTGAATGTGTGTGGGATGCCGTGGTGTGGGACAGTGGGAACGGCCCACAGGCGACCCGGCCAGGCAGGTGAGGGGGCAGGGTCTGGCCGGAGGCAGGATGTCAGATGGGGAGGGCAGGTGCACTGAGCTCGTTGGGAGAGGTGGGTCTGTCATATTCATCTCCTTCATCTCCACCCAATGCTCTGGAGTTTCATCATGAGGCCTGTGGGGGAGCTTGAATCACCTCTGTAACAGCTGTCACAGCACCTTGTGTAAGTTTTACTACTTTGTACACTTTATTAAAAAAAAAGTTGTTCCTTCAAACAGCTCTTGTTGTTGGTTGGCTCTTCTCTTCCTCAGGCCGCTGCTGCTTGGCAGGGGCAGTGCCCAGCTGCACCCACAGGGAACGGGGCTGGGGCAGCAGAGGGGTTTGGGTGGTGTTGGGGCTGGAGGGGGCTGCAGCAACAGGCTGTTGGGGCAACACCAGGCAGTGCTTGCTGCTGCATGTGTCAGGGTGTTGGTGTAGCTTTTCAGACAAAGGTAGAGGTATTGGCAAAACAGCACAATGCAAGTGTTTGTAACAGCTGTTCAGTTTGTCCCTGCAGTCTGTGAGCTTGGCCTGGCCACCATGGGCTGTGACTGCCTGGCAAGAGCTGTGCCTGTCTTCTGTGTTGACAGGGACCAGCTCCACGTAGCACTGCCTGGGTATGGCTTTGGGGTCATCCTGGCTGGAGAGCCTTGGAGGCTGTTTTCTGTGGACTCCTGTCAGTGAAATGCTCCCCTTCCATCAAGCATTGTCTGTTAGAATGAGAGGCACTGTCCTTTAAAGCTTGCAAAGCATGTAGAAAAAAGTGGTTGTTGTTTAAAGAGTACAAAAATTAAGGGTCAGTTTCAGCTATGCTAAACAAATACACTATTTTCCTCCCTTCTTTAGTATTTGACCTTGAAATACTTTTTTTTACATGTCTGCAACTCGGGCAGGATAAGCTGTCTCTGCTGCAATCCTTAAGGAGCCAGGCCATAATAGTTGTGCCAGGGTGGGGAAGGCTGTGCTTACAAGCTTTGTGAAGTTCTTCCATGAAGATATTAAGGCTTTTTTCTGTTGCCTGGTAGAGATTAAGCTGAGACTGAGCCTCTGTGTACAGAGGAAGAGGGTAATAGAGACATGGTTGTAGAAATCTTTAAATTTCTACATTTTAAAATTTTAAAATATGCAATGTTCTTTCCATTTAAGTACTTAAGTTGTTTTGGGACTTTTCTGACCAGTCAGAGGAGAGGTATTTCTGCAGCAGCAGATTTTTTCCCTAGTGAGGAGGAGAGCTGGGATTCCAGATAAATTCACTTACAGTCTATAAACCTCTGTCTGCACCAGAGCAAGGCAACGATGGCAATGTGCTGTGCAGGAGACAGGGACAGCTGTCAGCACAATCCTGCCTGCCGCTGCCTGGCGCCAGACCTGCTGTAGGACTGGGCAGAGAGCAGAGGATCAAAGGAGAGCGCTGGAAGTGCTCTGGATAGCCTTCCTGGCAGTGACGAATCAAAGGCAGAGAGACACGGAGTCCTCGAAAGCCAGCGTGGCTGGGGAAGGGTAGAGCAAGCATGCTGTGACATTAGCTGGGGTGCCTTCTGATGGAGCAGGGAAAGGTGACTTTCCCATGACAATGACACTCACTGGGGACTCCCACACTCTCTTACTGATGAATTAATTCTGCTCCAGTTTTACAGCTCCCTGGGCAGAAGAGGGGGCCTTTCCCAGGGGCTGTCTCCACAGGCAGGGTGGTGTGGAGGGAGGTGGCGAGGCTGCAGCCTTCCCCTCACCCCGGCAGCCTGAGGAGCTGGGGAGCAGCTGCCCCCACCACTGCAGGAGGGGCCAGAACATGGAAGGCACCAAACTAAAGCTTGTTTTTAGACATGAACTGCGCTGCTCGATGCTGGGACACCGACTGCGAGCCACTTCACAGACACATGAGGTGGAGAGGACATTTGCCTTTGGGTCAACAGAAGGCAAAGAGTTCATCACACATTCACTACATTGCTAAGAATGGGAAAAATGTCACATAAGGAGGTGAAACCTCAGGCCTGTCAAAGCCTTTAAATAATAGCATCATGCCTGGCATTAACACAGTAGCAATGCTTTGGCCAGTCTCAATCTTGGAAAGACCACACCAGCAAGACAGTTCCTGCTTAAATCAAGTGTGATTTCAGTGGTAGAGACATTCAAAATACACATTCAAATTCCCCTCTGGTTTTGGAAGCCAAACCCCATCAGATTCAGTGAGCTGCAGTGGTTTAACAGGATGGTGAATGTGTTTTTCAGGCTAGACTGGTAAAGCACCTGGATTCACCAGCGCCTTGTTGTTACCATTTGGTGTCCACATCTGTATGCACACTGGCCACTCACCGTGCCAGCCCTGCTGGGTACATGGAGAGAGCACCAAATGGGCAGGAAACCTTTGCTGCCTCCTCCCAGCCAAGGAAGGAGCTCATCTCCAGCCGCCTGTGCCCACCCTCACAAGATGTTTGCAGGAGCTGTCTGTAAGCAAAGACCACTTTTGTCGCAATGCATTGGTGAATACCCTGCATCTGGGAGCCACCTCTTCCCCCTGGGGCAGCCAGCCATGAGCCCATCCATGTGGGAATGCCAACCTCTGCAGAGCCCTGAGGTGTGGCATGGCCGTGGGCACCTCTCAGCACAGCAGCTCAGCCTGGGCACACTGCAGCGGCTGCCTGCATGGTGACACCAAGGGCTATGGCACCTGCCAGCCAATCCAAAATGGTGGGCACCGTCTTAGCCATTGTCTTGTGCTCCCATTCCTGCCCCCAGGAAAGGCAACATAACAGGATCTGAGTCTAACCACCGGTGCCAGTTGCAAGACAGCCCCCACAGCCTCTCCCCCCATGCTCAGGACCCTCTGGCTGTGGGGGGGGAAAGCTGAGGGAGTGGATGCCCCAGCTCTCCTTGTGCCCTGGGCTACTGGCAGGGTCCCAGCAGCAGAGGACAAGTCCATGGCCTGACACTTGAAGGTGCATGGGTGGGTGAGCCCCAGTGCCATGAGGAGGTGCCCTGCAGGGGCTGAGCTGTTCTCAGAGGTTGTTGTTCTGATTGTCCTCCCTGTGTGGGTCTCCACTTTTTGCCATGGTCTCTTGGATGCTGTCATGGTGGGGTCTTACCCTTGGAGATAGAAAAGGATGATTGAGCTGTGAGGGAAAGCCCAGGCAGTGCCAAGACCCCATAGAAGTACAGCTGCCTTGGAGCTCCCCACTGCCTGGCATGAGCTGCCACTCACTGCACAGCTCCTTCAGCCCTGAGTGCCCCAAGCTCCTCCAACACAGGGCCCCCACAGCCCCCTCCACCCAGCTCCCCCAGCCCTGGGCCCCCAAAAACTGTCAAAGGCTTTGGCAAGGGCCAGTGCTTCTCCTGCTGCCTCTGGATCAAAACTTACTTTTCTCTGTTGAAAACAATGAAGTTCCTCTGGAGCATTTCCAGGTGCTTCTGGAGGTGGCTGGCCTTTCACATTGGAATGGAAAAATAAAAGAGATAGGGAATAAATTCACAATTTACACAGGAAAACTTTCCAAGGACAGTTTCAATGACACATGGCAATATGTTTAGGCACAGAGCATCTTTAGCCCTGCAGTGGGGAGAATGGCATTAAGGCTCTCCTCTTGCAGTAAAACAGTGCATACACATTCTGCCCTTCACCACAGGGAAGATGGGGAGAGTTTTAGGAATAAAGTTGGTCGCAATGGAAAAAAAAAATTCTGTTCAGTTTACTGTGGTCTTGATAGATGGCAGTCATTGAAAAATGAAAAGCCTCCTTGACCATGCTTGTACCTGTTTGCTCTCACCTGGGATGAGTTGCTTTTGCTTGTGTCTTTCTCCTTAGCCAAGCGCTTTTTTTTTTTGTGAAGAGGTTTGGATTCCAGGATCATTTCTTCCAGTTCAAAGGTTGGGTCACAGTTCAGTCTGCCTTTCTGGAGGGGAGAGAGAAGTGGCCTTAAATGATCAGCGCCTGTCTTAAGGAGTCTCTTATAACCTGGACTGCATCTGGGATCTGAATTTTGTAAAAAAAATATGCACTATTTATAATTGCACATGCAGCCAAGAGCAGTGGCTACACTCCTGATATACTTTATCAGTCCCTTCAGCTACGGGCCATATTCAAGTGTCGCAGTGGCTCCTTTTGTACTCCTGCTTCTACTCTGCCCTTCAGCTGCTTTGGAGTGGCAATGAGGATGAGGACAGTGTCCTGGCTGGGTTGTGCCTTTTTGAGAGTAGCACAACAGCCCAGTGGAACTGGTCTTCAAGCAATTCAGAATTGTACCCACCACAGAGAAACCCACCAACAAGGGCAGATATACAATTAACAAATATTCATAGTTTTGCCCAACTTCTGCTGAAAACCAGTTGAAGTAGTTGGACTATTCTTCATAAGGGTTATGTTACTTATGTGCTTTTAATTCAATTTAGAAAGACCCATAAACACAAAGGTAGTGTATGTGCTATTTACTGTTAACAATGAGCTTGCTGGGGGAGGCATTGCAGGAGAAAACAATTCTCATAAGATGGATCTCCAGGCTGCTGCTGAGTCCATCCCGGTGAACTATGTTTTTGGATGTGGGGAACAGCACTGCTCAGGGCATGGGTCAGCACGAGAGGGTTCACAGGCACTGCCCATCCCACACAGATGCACAGTCCAGCAGGATGTAGCACCAGTTCTGCAGCCAGAAATTCCAGGAACATTACAAACAGACCATACTAGTTTTGGGGCACCCACACTACAGTCTCCCTCCATTATTCTTTGCTACACATTCAGGGAAGAGACAGCTCTGCCCTGGTCTCTCTTTTCCCCTTGTGACACCTGATGCTTCAGTGGAAATTTGTCAGAATGTCTCATGCCCCAGTGCTGGGTGTGAGGAACCCTTACACTCAAATGGCCTTACCATGGGAATGAATTCTGGCATTATTCTTTTCTGGAGAACAGCATCCCAGTTCACGTCAGACAGATACGGGAAGGACTGGATGTCCTTCAGCTGAGAAAAACGTTTCTCGGGGTTCAGCTCGAGCAACTGCAACAAGAGTTAAATGAAAGAGATGAGACCATCCCCACAGGGCACACATTCTGTGGAGCATGGCTGAGGACACATGGTGCCAGAGACCCCACATCACTGCTGGCATTTGGACCAGTGCCTTTCCTGCTCTGGCTCAGAGTCTCTTCACCAGGGTATGTGACAGGGTCACAAGATCTGCCTCTGTTTATTCCCATTTTTATGAATTACTTTTATCTCCATTGTAGGAGCAGGCAATGAGGCAGTACAGTGGC